ATACACCACTCATCAATACACCACTCATCAATACACCACTCATCAATACACCACTCATCATACACCGCTCATCATACACCACTCACAACTGGGTTTCCGTCGGGCCAGGACTGGCCCAGAAACCGTCGTGCAGCCAGATCACGGAGCGAAAGCCAACCAAAGGTTGCAAATACGCGTAAGCAGCCCATGTGAGGTGTTGCTCTAAATGTTCGTAGAAACGAAAGGGGGTTGCACGATTCCTCTCTATAGTCCGTTGTGGGCACCAGTCAGGTGGGTTATCTATAACGTACCGGCTCGCAGCATGCAGTTCATGTGCAAACCTGACTAGTTGCGCAGGCAGGTGGTTACGCAAGTGCAGGAGTTGGCGTTGCATGTATGTGACTGCTTCTTGTGGTGTGCTGCTGTTAATGATGACTAATGGCCATCTTTTGACGAGAGTGTCAATGAGTGTGGGATCGTCGGCTGTCTCGGGCACATCGAAAGTGCTGCGGAGCCATTCACGCACAACCCGGACTGGCTGCAATGAGAGGTGGACGCCTGCGGCAGCACAGTATCGCCTTGTGAGCTCATAGTGCGCTCCACACCACTCATCATACACCACTTATCATACACCACTCATCATACACCACTCATCATACACCACCCAACATACACCGCTCATCACCCAGTTAGCTCTAGTTTCAATAGCTCTAGCTCCAGTTTACCTGGCAGGCGCAGAGCTTTGTGAACCTCCATGTGCAGATTTCGTGGCAGGCACAGCACTTTGTGAACCTCCATGTGCAGAGTTCGTGGCAGGCAGAGCACTTTCTGAACCCCGATGTGCAGATTACGTGGCAGGCGCATTACTTTGTGAACCTCCATGTGCAGATTTCGTTGCAGGCACAGCACTTTGTGAACCTCCATGCTTCTCCGAACCTCGACAGGGAAGCTCCGCGGAGCGCTGTGTGCGAGACGGTCTCGGGTCATGGTCGGATCATGTTCGAATCGTCCCTCCATTGTGGTTAGAGTTTTCACTTGTTTCTTGAAGTGCAGATTTCGTGGCAGGCACAGCACTTTGTGTTGCCTCCATGTGCAGAGGTCGTGGCAGGCACAGCACTTTGTCAACCTCCATGTGCAGATTACGTGGCAGACGCATTACTTTGTGAACCTCCATGTGCAGATTTCGTGGCAGGCACAGCACTTAACCTCCATGCTTCTCCGAACCTCGACGGGGAAGCTCTGCGGAACGCTGTGTGCGAGACGTCATGGTCGGATCATGTTCGAATAGTCCGTCCATTGTGGTTAGAGTTTTCACTTGTTTCTTGAAGTGCAGATTTCGTGGCAGGTGCAGCACTTTGTGAACCTCCATGTGCAGATTTCGTGGCAGTCACAGCATTTTGTGAACCTCCATGCTTCTCCGAACCTCGACGGGGAAGCTCCGCGGAACGCTGTGTGCGAGACGGTCTCGGGTCATGGTCGGATGTTTCTTGAAGCGCAGATTTCGTGGCAGGCACAGCACTTTGTGAACCTCCATGTGCAGAGTTCGTGGCAGGCACAGCACTTTGTGAACCTCCATGTGCAGAGTTCGTGGCAGGCACAGCACTTTGTGAACCTCGATGTGCAGATTACGTGGCAGGCGCATTACTTGGTGAACCTCCATGTGCAGATTTCGTGGCAGGCACAGCACTGTGTGAACCTCCATGCTTCTCCGAACCTCGACGGGGAAGCTCCGCGGAACGCTGTGTGCGAGACGGTCTCGGGTCATGGTCGGATCATGTTCGAATCGTCCCTCCATTGTGGTTAGAGTTTTCACTTGTACAGATTTCGTGGCAGGTGCCGCGCTTTGTGAACTTCCATGTGCAGATTTCGTGGCAGGCACAGCACTTTGTGAACCTCCATGTGCGGATTACGTAGCAGGCTCAGCACTTTGTGAACCTCCATGTGCAGATTTCGTGGCAGGCGCAGCACTTTGTGAACCTCCATGTGCAGACTTCGTGGCAGCACTTTGTGAACCTCCATGCGCAGATTTCGTGGCAGGTGCAGCACTTTGTGAACCTCCATGTGCAGATTTCGTGGCAGGTGCAGCGTCATGTGAACCTCCAAGTGCAGAGTTCGTGGCAGGCACAGCACTTTGTGAACCTCGAGGTGCAGATTTCGTGGCAGGCACAGCACTTTGTGAACCTCGAGGTGCAGATTTCGTGGCAGGCGCAGCACTTTGTCAACCTCGAGGTGCAGATTTCGTGGCAGGCGCAGCACTTTGTGAACCTCGACGTGGCAGGCGCTGCATCTGGGGAGCTGGAAGCTGAGAACTGCCGACTTTGTAGTGCAACTTTAGTGCGCGGAGTAATCTGGCGAGGTGGAGGCTGAGACCTGGCATCTTGATGAGAACTGGCGACTTTGTAGTACAACTTTAGTACGCGGAGCAAT